GTGCCTATTTCTCCACAGCCTTGCGAGCTTTTGTTATTGGTTGATTTCTTAATGCTAGCCATTCTTACTGGGATGAGATGAAATCTCAATGTTGTTTTAATTTGTATTTCTCGCATGACTAATGATGTTGAACATTCTCTCATGTATTTATCTGCCATTTGTATTTCTTTATCTGAAGTGTGTATTCATCTCAGCTGCTCATTTTTGGATTGGGTCTTTGAATTTGGGGGTGCTGATATTTTTTAATTCTTTATATGTTCTACATAGAAGTCCTTTGTCCGAGGGACAGTCAGCTAAAATTTTTTCTCCCTACTTTTTAATCTGTGATTTAAATGTGTTTTACCTTGGAGGCATTTTTGGTCTTTTGAGACAAGGTCTCACTGTGCAGTTCAGGCTGGCTCTGAACTCCCTAGATAGCTCAGGCTGGCCTCAAATTCCAGGCAATCTTCCTGCCTCAGCCTCCTGAGTGCTGGGATTATAGGCACATGCCACCACATCCAGCTAGGCCACCTGCTATTAAGGGGTAACATTAACCCTTGCTGGAGTAAGATTGGACTTGCTATGCGCATAGTCCAGACCTAGTGGTACCTCCTCCTATAAGGGAGTCTTGTGTCTTTGGCTGTTTCTATGTCCCCGGCTCTCACTGCACCTGTCCTGTAGTTGATTATGAAAGTTGAGGCAAAAGACCTTGCTCCCGCGTCCTCTGCCTCCCGCAGCTTAGCCCTGCTCACCACTACTCCCCATATTGGCCTGAGCTTTGTCAATCCTGGATTTTCTCCATAGGTCACTTCCTCCTGACCCATCTGCTGCTGGAGAAACTGAAGGAATCTGCCCCCTCCAGGGTAATAAATGTGTCCTCCTTTGCACATCTCTTGGGAAGGATTCACTTCCATAACCTGCACGGCGAGAAGTTCTACCATTCGGGACTGGCCTACTGCCACAGCAAGTTAGCCAACGTGCTGTTCACCCGGGAGCTGGCCCGGAGGCTGGAAGGTGGGCTCGGCGAGGGGGCAGGAAGTTGCAAGTCACTGAGCAGACCCTAAAAGTCCCCGCTTTCTGGAGCCCACACTGAATACTGGAGCTCGCTGGCTGGGGACAGGGAAATTCTCACGGAAGCCTTTAGTGACTGACTAGTTGTGTGACCTGCAGCAGGTTACTTAACTTTTCAAACTTACTTTCTTTAGGTGGCTTTACAGGTTATTGTCATAATTAATTCAGGTCTGTGAGCAAGTCAAGATGTCCATACACATGGGGACTCTGAAGAAAAGGGCACTAGATACAGCCACAAGGGCGCACATTGGGTGGTGGTGGTGGTAGCGTGTGTGTGTGTGTGTGTGTGTGTGTGTGTGTGTGTGTGTGCGAGCGCGCGTGCGTGCACCGTGCTCCCTAATAGCAAAGGATCAAATAAGAGGGAAAGTATTCCTCAGAAGGGAAATCCCCAAGCACATGGAAGCAGCACTCCTTAGCACTGTCTACTCTGGATTTCCAGTGAAGTGAAAGGAAACCTACGGTGGACGGTGCTCAGGAGCTGAGGCAGACAGTTTAGGCTGAAATAAGGGGCCTCACTGCTGGAACAAGCCCATCATCCCTGCTGGTCATGTGTTCCATACTCATAATATCCGGTGCCATGGTTACAGGATGGGGGCGCTGGAGGACGAGACAAGCACGGTCCCTCTCGCGATTTGGTTTATATCTACTGAGGGACCGACAGTTAGCCAGTGTTTGTACACCCACCACATATTCAGTCTAGTAACATTCTCATTGAAAAAAGTTAAAATAGTATGGAAAGTTATAGAATTAAAGGTGAGAAAACCCTTCATATATTTCTCTCCCCATCTCACTCTTCTCCAAGTGACCACTGCCAACAGCTGGGTGTGCATCTTCCCGGTCACTGTCCTTTGTATTTGTACTTCTGCATGTTAGACACAGAGTATTGCAATTCTAACCTGGTTTCCGTGCAGTACCCGGAGGTTTACCCCCATTCATTTTGTTAGCTACGTATTTCCTGGTGTAGATGTGCCTTAACAGTATCTGGATTACATCCTTTCTGTTTGCTGTTCCATTGTAATTGTGATACATGTTACAAAGAAGTGCAAGGATATCTCAGGTGGATTTCAGGAATGGGTAGAGACCTTACTCAGTCTGAGGGTTCAGGGAAGACTCGTCTGAGGTAGGCAGTTGCAAGCTGAGCTCTGAAGGATGATTAGAGATTAGATCGGGTGTAACTTGAAGGATGATTAGAGATTAAGTGGGTTTTTTTTTTTTTGGTTTTTCTCCGGTAATGGGAACCGAACTCACGACCTTGCGCTTGCCAGGCAGACGCTTTGCCGCTGAGCTAAATCCCCAGCCCCTTTAAGTGGGTTATTAAATGAGCACATGGGGTGAGGAACAGTGTTTGATGGTATGGGCTTGGTTTGAGAAACAGAAGGGTGTAATATTAGAATAAAGGCTGAATTTAGACAGGAAGGTAGGTGGAAGCCACAGAAAGGGTTTTAGTTTTAATTCTGAAAACCTCCGAAATGAAAACCTTTTAGAAATGGGCAGGAGCAGATGCAACAGGCAATTTCAGTGGTCAAGGTGGGAAGTGAAAATAGCTTGGACGAGGGTGGTGGAGTTGGGGATTCGTAAACACTCCTGGGAGGCGTTTGGGATGTGGGAACCATAGAGCTTGTTGAAGGATGTGCACGGTAAGGTAGGGAATTCTCAATAGCTGCTCCTATGTGCCTGGTTGGGTGTGCAGGGGATACTGCAAGAGCCAGGTTTGAGCTGGGTGTGGTGGCGCACACCTGTAATCCCAGCACCCAGGAGGCTGAAGCAGGAGGATCACCATGAGTTCTAGGCCAGCCTGAACTATAGCGAGACTCTGTCTTGAAAAACAGCACCAGAAAAAGACTTTAAGAAGGAGTGGGGGGGAAAAAAGGGGGGGTCAGTGATGTACAGTGCTGCTGCGAGGCTGAGTCCTGGCTCTGCTGCATGAAACCGCTCGTGACCTCCCTGGGTCTTCCTAATCTGTGAGGTGCAGGTGTACATTACTGTGAGTCATGCTTGTGATGTGACCACAGGCAGAGCGCATAGTGGGGGCCGCAAGTTCATACTCATTCTTTGCTCTCTTTGGCTGTGGAATAAACTCAAGTCCCATCTTCCCCTTGCTACGTGTCCCCCACCCCCACCCAGGCTCTGGCGTCACGACCTATTCCGTGCACCCTGGCACCGTCATCACTGAGTTGATTCGGCACTCGTCTTTCATGAGGTGCATGGCGTGGCTCTTCTCCTACTTCCTCAAGACTCCTCAGCAGGGAGCGCAGACCAGCCTGCACTGTGCCCTCACAGAAGGTCTTGAAGTTCTGAATGGGAGTTATTTCAGGTATGAATGTGTCTGTTTTTGAACAAGTTGAATTTGTGTGGTATGTTATACCCTTTTTTTTTCTTGGTACCGGGGATCGAACTCAGGACCTTGCGCTTGGCAGGCAGGCGCTTATGCCGCTGAGCTATATCCCTGGGCCTGTTATACCTTTACAAAAGGTACATTGTCTACTACTGCTTCTGTTTTGTCTGTTATGTTTTTGTTTTATTTGTTCTGTTTTCTGTAGGATTGGGGTTTGAACCCAGGGACTCAAGCATGCTAAGCAAATGCTCTACCACTAAGCTACAGCCCCAGACCTTTTTTTTTTTTTTTTGGTATGAGAATCAACTCAGGACCTTGCGCTTGCTCGACAGGTGCTTGTGCCGCTGAGCTATATCCCTGCCACTCCCCAGCTCTTTTTTTTTTTTTGAGACAGTGTCTTGCTCCAGCTTGCAGTCCTCCTGTCTCAATGTCTGAACAGGCATGCGCCACTGTGCTTGGTAGCATCTTTTTTTTTGGTTTGTTGGTTGGTTTTTGTTTTTTCACTTTTTTGAGACACTAAGTAGTCCAAGCTGGTCCTGAGTGTGCTATGCTTCAGTTTCCTGATACTGGGATTATCTAGCAGCTTCTAACTTTGAGTCTAGGGTTTTTATATTTTAATAGAGGAATTAGCCGGGTGTGGTGGCGCACTCCTGTAATCCCAGCATTCGGGAGGCTGAGGCAGGAGGATCCTTGTGAGTTCAAGGCCAGCCTGGGCTACAACATGAGCTCAAGGTCAGCCTGAGCTGCATAGTGAGACCCTGCCTCAAAAAAGACAAAAAAAAAAAAAAAAATAGAAGAATTAGACCCTTTCATACTTTTTGTGGTATGACTTGTTTGACTTGTCATACCACGTTGGACTTGTTCATGCCATCTTTTATATTGATAATTATAATTTCTATCAATTCTCACTGACTTTTTGTTATATTGGTCCAGTTTTTAAAATTTCATTTTGAAGTCCTGGTTTTGTTTTTTTTTTTTTTTTTTACTAGGAATAGAACTGAGGACCTTGTGCTTGCTAGGCAGGCATTTGTACTGCTAAGCTATATCCCCAGCCCATTTTTCTCTTTTTGAGACAGCGTCTCACTATGCAGTTCAGGCTGGACTTGAACTCACAATGATCCTCCTGCCTCAGCCTCCTGAGTGCTAGGATTACAGGTATGAGCCATCACTCCCGGCTTGTTTTTTTTGACATTAAAAATGTTTAAATCTGCATTCCTTTATTGTCTTTAAGGTTGAAATAGTATCTAAATTATCCCTTCTTGAATAAACTTTTTCAAACTTTTAATAGAGAATTTTGAACATACACAGGAGTAGAATAAAGTATTGAGCCCGCATATACCCATCATGTGCCTCAACTACCACTAACCTATGACCAATCCTACCCCATCCTCATCCTCTCTCTCTTCTGATATTTTTTCTCTCCTGTATTATTTTGAAGAAACTCCCAGATATCATAGAAGATCAAAATTTTAACATGTTTTTACCTCCACCTTTAAGACATCATTGAAAGACCCTGAAATTTTCAAGAATAGCATTAAGATTGGAAATAAAGGTAAACATAGTAAAAAGATTGTAATGCCAGATTTATGGAAGAGCCACAGAAGGTGTCTCAGTAGAGAAAGACAGAGTCTAGTCTGTGCTATACAAAAACATCATTTGTTTCATGCACAAATAAGTAACCCAGTAAGAGAAAAGTTTCTGATTTAGAGAAATGACTATTGGAGGAACAAGGATAAGTGCATAAGATAAGTGATGATGAGGTTTTTTTTACCACTGTTTGACTAAGTGAGTGTGGGGACGCAGGAGGGTTTGGTAACCCAGGTTTCAAGATCAAGTGACTGCCAGGCATGGTGGCACACACCTATAATCCCAGCACTGGCGAGGCTGAGGCAGGAGGATTGTTGTGAGTTCGGGACCAGCCTGGGCTACAAAGTGAGCTCAAGGCCACCCTGAACTGCATAGTGAGACCCTGTCTCAAAAAGACAAAAAAAAAAAAAGACCAAGTGACTACAGGCTGATGATGACATTTACTGAAACAGCAAACATGGAAAAAAGATATATGTGTAGTAAAGGACAATGAAGATATAGAATAAACACTGGCTCTGGTACCTGGAGGACGTATGATCTCAAGGTTGTTTTCTGTCGTATTTCTTATCCCAAGCAGAGATTCTATTCTTTTTTCTATTTGTTTGTTTGTTTGGTCTTTTTGAGACAGGGTCTCACTATGCAGTTCAGGCTGGCCTTCAACTCACTTTATAGCCCAGGCTGGCCTCAAACTCAGAATGATCCTTCTGCCTCAGCCTCCCAAGTGCTGGGATTACAGGCGTGCGCCACCACACCTGGCCAGATTCCATTCTTAACTCTTTGCCTCAAGCCTCTCTCTTTCCCTTCCAGTGAGTGCCAAGTGACATGGGCCTCAGCCCAGGCTCGGAATGAGACCATAGCAAGGCGTCTATGGGACGTCAGCTGTGACCTGCTGGGCCTCCCAGTGGACTGACAGGTGGTGGCAATTGGACCCAAAAGAAGACTGCAGCAGCTGTTATAGTACTCCCTGCCAAAATGATTCTCCTCCAAGATGGCCAAAGAGCGCACAAAGAGCAAAACCTTCCAGCCCAACCCGATGGTGACCAGTAGCATTGTAGGGGATGATGACTCTTAGCATATCATTTTAAGATAGAATAATTTGGGCTCATGACTGGAGCTTGAGCCGGTCAGGTGGCACAAGAAAAACAACATGTGGCCAAGGCTACAACGTTCCAGTCTCTTACCATAAAAGCCAAAAATGTGTATAAGCTAAAAACAGACAGGCCCACTTCCCTGACTTACAAGTTGGGATGAGAGGTGACCGGTCTAAATTAAAACTTTGTCTGTTCTCTTTGGTCTCCTGCGGAATACAGCCCAAATTTTTGCCTTAACAGCATCTCAGCACTCTGCCAGATTGGTCTGCTCACCTCGCATTTGTCTAGACCCACTTTCTTCTTCTACTGCCAAAGCATTCTGTCCATATCATTGGATAAGATGACCTCGCATGACCTGCACAGCTTGCATTTTCCTTCTGAAACTTACTCCTGTGTAGGCGTATAAAGAGCCCTTCTGGATCTCATCGTGGTCTGGGAAATTTATATTTGTAATCTCATGGAAAAGTTATTGGAATTCTAGCAGGTTAATTCCAATTGACCACTTCCAGTGCAACCCATAGTGAGAATAAAGACACTAAGGCATGTTTATAGTTGTGGGGAGCCGAGGGGTCCTAAGTCCAGCCGTGACGATGGCCATCCGGAACCAAGGCCTTGACCCAGGGCTGAAACCTGGGTTTTTTTTATTCATGAAGAAGGGAGTGGCTTGAGGATGAGTGACTGTGAGAACTGTGGGAAGTAGGTGAATGCCGTGAGCTGGGCCAGATAGGAGGCCTGCAATCACCTCTGCAGTATGCAGGGCAAAGGATCTGCACAAAGTAATCTGCATAACATAACTGAGGTAGTATCTAATGTTTTGGTGTCGGTGCTTGAGCTCTGATGTGTAATCTTTCAAGCCCCAGGAAGTCACAGCCTCTAACTTGAGGCTCGATCCCAGCCGACAGCGTGGAGCGCGGCTCTCCATCCCGCCTCACCCCGGCTCACACGTTTTTTGGGAGCTGCGGGGGCGGGGAAACACTGCCCTGTTGCCTTGCATCAAAGCCTACACATCAGCACCTCGGCTGGACCGATTTGCGTTGCTTAAAGCCAACTGAGGGATAAGGAAAAGTCCCAGCCAGCTCTGCACACATTAGGACATAGAAACACGGTCAGGCTCAGCCAACATGGAGACCATGGCTCCTCCTCCAAGGAGAGCCGCCCAGGTGCTCCCCCACATAGGAGAATCTGGGCTCCGGCAGGGTTGCTGTCTGGGAATGTGCACTAGTTTTACCCTCTTTTCTCATGCTGTAGTTCCTCCCAACCATCAAGAGGGGGCCCTGTCGCAACCTTGGCTGGACCTCTCCCATCGCAGTGGCTTGTTCTGAGAGCACAACTTCATGGCACCAACATCAGAATTCTTCCAGGAAACTACTGAATCTGTGTTACGGCCCGGCCTCAGCTCCGAGGACCCGTTTTCCCACGTCTGGACCACAGAGCAGCTAGCTAGTTTCCTAAGATGTGGGATTTGGGGGAGGACAGAAGTAAAAATCAAGTTAAACTGCCACGTTCCTGCCTTTTCTCAGACCAATTAGGAGGTAATAAAAGGAGTACTATGACAAGATAGACCACCTGGCTTCAGTTACTGACTCTAGTTACATGGAGGCCTCCTTTTCACGCTTTGGGTTTTTTGTTTTCATTAAAGGCGCTGGGTATCAAACCTAGGGCCTCACAAATGCTAGGCAAGCACTACCATGGTGCTACATCCTGAGTCCTTTTTTAAAATTTTGAACTCGGGAGGCTGAGGCAGGAGGATCACTGAGTTTGAGGCCAGCCTGAGCTGCATAGTGAGACCCTGTCTCAAAAAAAATGAATAAATATTGAGACCAGTTCCCCAGGCTGGCCTTAAAACTTGCAATTGTCCTGCTGCCTCAGCCTCTCAAGTAGCTGGGAGTACAAGTGTGCACCTCCACACCCAGCTCTTAGAAAACCAGAAGAGGGGGCTGGGGATTTAGCTTAGCGGCAAAGCGCCTGCCTGGCAAGCGCAAGGTCGTGTGTTCGGTTCCCGGTACCGGAGAAAAACCAAAAAAAAAAAAAAGAAAACCAGAAGAGGACTGGGCATGGTGGTGCACACCTGGAGTCCCAGTGCTCAGGAGGATCCTGAGTTGGAGGCTATCCTGGGCCGCACAGTGAGACTGTCTCAAAAAAAAAAAAAAAATCAGAAGAGGAAAAGGAAAGCTTTTAGCTTTCCGTCATTGTCACTGTGTATACTTGTTTCTTGTGTATTCATGCGGTTAGGGTTATTTTCAAAAAATTTACAGTAGCTACTCAGTGCTCACTAGACAAACATTTAATGTAAAATACACACAGTGGATTACAAGGTAGGCTTACAGAGGCCCCGTGTGGGGTCCAGTGCGAAAGTGCAGACGGGCTTTCCGCACACTGGAGATCCAAAGGATCCAGTCAAAAGTTGAAGGCTTGAAGCCCAGTGTAGATTCCCTTGTGAGTCTCTCAGGAAGCTGAAGGGTCTGTGCTGGAAGCCCGGAGACAGATG